TTTTTTTTTTTTTTTTTGATTCTGATGAGTGCCTTTCCATATATTCAGATTTTGAGTAAGGGGAAGTCATAAATAAGGAGAGGTTTTTTTTTTTTGTTTAGATTTAACATATTGTATCACTCTTTCTAGCCCTGTGAATTCCTAATGTCAGAAAATTAAGATGACTTTATTTCTGATAATTCCTGAATTTTACTTGTGATGAGAAAACTAAGTCACACATATGGTCTAAATGGGAAGGAAAGGAATAAAAAAATCATCTGGGTATTGTTTGCTCATATTGCTTACATTTTTAAGGGACAGCTCTTTTATTTATTGCCTTCAGTGATTACATGCTTTCGATTTTCGTAGCAATTTCAGCAAATTGGCTAAAAAGCCCCAAAGAGTTGAGAGCAAGGGTTGTTCAGAGGCAGAGTCTGTATTCCACAATAATTTTCATGCATTTGACCTCAGTCTAACAAAGAGATTTACCATCGGCCCTTCCTAGCCATTCATTACTATATTTGAACTTTGCTGTTCTAGTTCTTATAAACTGAAGTATTTTGGATCACGAGGGTTAGAAACCAAGTAAACAGTTCTAAGGGTGTTGATGATAACTGAAGGGCTAATGTACGGCAGAATGCTGCTACCACTAATTTAGAATAGACAAATCCACAAATCATGGCTAATGCTGTGCTCAGAGCATTCTTCCTGTGACCTTTCAGGACTACACTGCCATATCTGTCTTGGGCGCTGAGCAAGCATATGTATGAGAAAAAGATGGAGATATAGTTTAGTACTTCATTTCTTAACACATGCAATAGTGGTTGATGACATATATTAGGAGTCACCCTAACTTGTGAAGACAGTAAAGTCTGTTTGTAAATAGTTCTGTATATAATAGTTCTTGTTTTTCAGATTTGGTCCCAGGAGAGGATAGTGGAAAACGTGTGGGGATAAAGCAAGAGGTCCTTGATGCAAGGCCTGATTCTGTTACAGTTTGTTCTGCAACCTTGTACAAGTTTATTAAACTCTCTACCTTTAATTTCCTCGTCTGTAAATAGAAATAGTATTATTTTCCATTGCTGTTGAGAGGATTGCATGAGGTAGAATAAGTGAACGTTCTCTTTAATGTAGAAAACCACACAGAAATTTAGTTTTTGTTTCTTTGCTTTCCATGGTCTTGTTAACAGCCCTTCTTTCTGTTGTCTGCCCTCACCGTACCCCCGATGTAAGCCCCACCTGCTTACAACAAAGCCTGATGTTTCTCATGACAGATCAGTCCTAAAGCAGAGGGACCCAGTGGCACAGTCTTAATCACCTTGGTTATGTTGTGCTGATCCTAGCTTCTACCTGTCTTTCTTTTGGTGCCTTAGTGAGAGACAAGTTTGTTTCCTTTGGAGCAAATAGAACGAGCATAAATGTTCACCTGCGTGGGGTCAAACCTCTGCCTTGCCTCTCACTGTCTGTAAGGCCTTTGAGAAATTGCTCAAGCTCTCTGAGCCTCAGTTCCTTCATATAGAAGGTGAGAAAAACAGTTGTGTTTTTGGATTTGTGGAGGCGATGGAGGACCAAAATGAGTGTGTAGTAATTGGGGTATATGGTTACTAATAGTATATGTTATATGGCAAGTTTATTTCCTTCTTTCTCACAAGTTTCTAGACAGAGAAGATATTACCTAATGTTTTATGACTATTAAATCCAGTTTCATAAAAGAAAGTTTTGGAATTTTCTTAACAGGTTGTAACTTGTAATGATCATTGACTTTCTCCTTGTGTGTAGTAAAACAAATGATTAACATGTTCCTTTCCTTTTCCCCTAGACACACACACACACACACACACACACACACACACACACACACACACTTACTTTGCCTGTTTGGTCTTCAGCACAGATGGATATTGTTTCACAATGATAGAAGAAGATGATTCTGGGATGCCTGTGGTCACTTCTGGATGCCTAGGACTAGAAGGCTCAGATTTTCAGTGCCGGGTAAGGAAGATCACATGCTTCTGCCTTGTAACTTTCATTGCTAGCTTTCAAACAGTTAGGTTTCAAGCTATATAAAAGAATTGTTTTCCTTGCCCACCCTGTTTTTAGCAAGTTGGAAAATAATCTGAAAATTGTCTCATTGGGCCAATCCTCCTTTCGTTGCAGAAGCAAGTATTATTTTTATTTTTGCTGTTAGCTTCTTGCTTAATGACTCTTTAGATCATCCCGCTCAGATTCCAGTTTAGTTAATTGCATTAATGCAAGCCATCTTCCTCAGTTTATAACTATGCACCCTGGTTATTACAAATGTAGTAGTAGTTTTGTTGAAATGCAAAAGCCGCAGTAAGAAAATATATGGAAATTTGAGAGAAATTTTCTAATATAAAAAAACATTTTCAGAATGTTTCAGGACAATTATCAGAATTTTAAGTGAATTCCCTGAATGGTGTTAGTATCTCAAGTTTTAGATTATGTGACTTTGAGGGGGTGCCTGGGTGGCTCAGTTGGTTCAGTTAAGCGTCTGACTCTTGATTTCGGCTCAGGTCACGATCTCACAGTTTGTGGGTTCGAGCCCTGTTTCAGGCTCTGTGCTGACAGTGTGGAGCCTGCTTGGTATTCTCTGTCTTCCTCTCTCTCTGCCCCTCCCCTGCTCGAGCTGTCTGTCTCTGTCTGTCTGTCTCTCTTTCTCTCAAAATAAATAAATAAGCTAAAAAAAGTTTAGATTATGTGACTTTGAAATTTAGGGGAACCCCACTCATAGCTGTTTGGGCTCAACTTTAGGACACCCCCATTCCTCATCAGAGAAGATCCATTGAGTGCTGCACAGAGCGGAACGAGTGTAACAAAGACCTGCACCCTACGCTGCCTCCACTGAAGAGTAGAGGTAAGGAGAAGAAAGCTTTGGGGCTGGAAGAGCTTTAGCCACAAAGGAAATAAAGATGAGAATTACTCTGCCTTTCCTAAATTGATGTGCCTGATCATTTCCCACTGCTGGGGCAGGGGACCAAGGCAAGATGACGTAATTCAAAGACATGGGCAAGTAGTTCTTGGAAAAGTAGTCGTATGGGGCTTCATGCTTGAGGATCTCGTTTCTTTCACTTGTCCCCACTTCCCTGTGAAATCTAGGGGTTCCAGAGCTTGCAGTGTGTTTTAGAAGCAAAGAGGAGGGGGACAGGGTTTTATGCTTACCTTGAAGTGTTAATCAGAAGTTATACTTCACTCGAAAACTGCCATTAGGCTAACATGCATTAAAAAAAAATAAAAGATTCAATTGGATTATTTGCTGGATAATTTCCTTTTATCTGTACTAGAGCAGCTAGTTTTTAGCCAAATCATATATCAGTATATTGATAGAATGGAGGAGATATCTAGAAAATTTAATTTCAAAACTTCTACATTTAAGTGTCGCTCGTTGCAAAAGACAAATACTGCAACTGGAAGGGCTTTTTGTGTCGCTCGTTGCAAAAGACAAATACTGCAACTGGAAGGGCTTTTTGTTACAAACTGCTCCCATGTTTCCTTTCTCCTCTTTACTCTCACCTCAAAATAAGATAATTGGAATTGTCACCATGTCCTAAAGCCTAAGTCTTATATCAGTGGTTTAAAATGATTTCTCATGATTGATTTTACTTCCTGAGAAAATCTTCCTAACAAAATATACTGACATTTCATGGCTTTGATGATAACATTTTGTAACGCTAGTTTCTGCTAAAGCCTAGAAAGCTTTAAAGGATTATTCATAATCATTCACATAAAACATTCACAGACAGATTTTTTATATAGATTGCCAGTCAACATGCTAGGTGTTAGGGATACAGAAATGGATGAAGAAAATTCTTGCTCTCAAGACGTGCACACTGGCCTGTGAGAGAGAAATATGTAAATAATTAAATTTTATTCAGTCAGGAATGTTTTAGTGGAGTCAGATTGTAAAGTGTATTAAGGACACAAACAAGTGAGTGGTTTACTGTGGGGTGGGAGGATGTCAAAAGACCTTCATAGAAGTGACACTTGAACAAGACTGTAAGGATGAATAGGAGATCACTGGATGGATAAGACAGGAATAAAAATTTAAAAAATATTATAATGGCTAACATGAGCCAGGCATGTTCAGTATCACATTATTTAACCCAGTTGAGTCCCACAACAATCCTATGAGGTACTTAGACTTACTCCTTGTGTAAAGATAAGGACATTGCAGCACAGAGGGGTCACCTAACTTTCCCAAGGTTGCACCGCCTGTTAGGAGCAGTGACTAAATAGAGGCAGTAGTAAACACAGAGTTTTGGTTTGTAATGCTTGAGAAGCATTTGCAAAATGCAGGCATAGCAAACAATGTGGTTGGTTGGAGAAAATCTCATAATTAAGTTTTCTAAAGCTTTGTTATTGAAAATAGATCTGTAGATCAGCTCATCAGTGTCAGTCAGAACTCATTACGCGTGTGGAATCTCTGACCCCACCCCAGACTACAAAATGTATTTTTTTTTAAATTTTTTTTTTCAACGTTTATTTATTTTTGGGACAGAGAGAGACAGAGCATGAACGGGGGAGGGGCAGAGAGAGAGGGAGACACAGAATCGGAAACAGGCTCCAGGCTCTGAGCCATCAGCCCAGAGCCTGACGCGGGGCTCGAACTCACGGACCGCGAGATCGTGACCTGGCTGAAGTCGGAAGCTTAACCGACTGCGCCACCCAGGCGCCCCTACAAAATGTATTTTTTAACAATATTCCTCAAGTGATTTGTATGCACATTAAAGTTTGGGTAATACTTTTGGTAGAAAAAGCACCGCTTGTGTCTCAGCATGCCTTTGACAACACCTTCAAAGAGAAGTCTGCTGATATCAAATTGTGGTCAAGTTCTAAATGTTTGCTTTCTGGTTTTTGTAGCTATTTCCTTGTGAACCAGTTGCAGAAAGTTGGCAGTCTGTAGACAACATTTTGAATAGCCCTGGTATAGAGGCTTATGTACTGGGGACAAGGGAGGGAGGAGGGTGAGAAATGGCTGGAAATGAAGGCAGTGGTGCTAGATTTTAGAATCTCTTCCCCCAAGGAGAAAAGGCTTTTCACATGCAAGTGGAAGCAATGTGTCTTAGAACTTGCAATAGGATTCGGAAAATTCCAACCCTTCTATTGCTGAAAGGGCTGCAGTGCATGTATCGTCCTGTAGATGGAGCCAGATTCTAGTTAGCACTAGGCAGATGAGGGAATTTTCTCTGAGGAGGCTGAGACTTTTAAAAATAGTGGAATAAATCTCTAGAGAACTGAGTGAAACGGCTTTGAGTAGAAAGGCAGCAGCATTGAGAAGACAAATCCTTGTTTTAGAGCAGAATGGGAAAGAGGATTCAGGAATGGTTGGTGCATAATACTGAAAATTATGTAAAGTGATAGGCTTGTGTGGAGTTTATTGCTTTGAAATTTGAGGATCCCCGTTAGTACCTAGGTGAGTTCTGGGCAGATTCCATCTTACCCTTCTGGTGCAGTCATTTTGGGGTCTAGTAAAAGTCACTGTAGGTAGTGGTCTGAGAGCACTAGCATTTGTAACATAGCTATGCCATAGAGCTGCTGCCTTTTTTTTTTTTTTTTTTTTTTTTTTTTTTTTTTTTTTTTTTTCTTTTTTAACCTCCACCATACACTGGCCATGGCCAGTGGTTTAAAAGAAGAGTGGGATGGGACAGGTTCTGAGTGGACACATCCCCCGGGTCCTGGAGACTCATTGCTTAATGGGAAGGGTCATGGTTGGAGGGAGCCAGAGTAGGACCCTTGAAAGCTCAGAGCCCAGGCTGATTTTCTGGCCTAAGAGCCATGGAAATCATCCTCATGATTGTGATATTTGCTAATGAGAATGGAACACTTACTGTGGCTCTTTTCTAAGTACTTTACATATACATAACTACTGAATCCATATATAGTAGATTTATTATAAATCTTTATGTCAAATTGCTAGAAAGCAGAGGCTATGTTATCAAAAGACCAGAAGGCTAAAATATCGAGCTGACCATTTTGTTGTTGTTGTTCTTGCTTCTTATATAACTGGTCTTCCAAAAAAGTTAAATGATTAACCTCATCGCAAAAGACCTGTATTACTGGGTGCTACGTAATAACAAGCTTAGGCAGGGTTTTGTTATTAGAGATTAGAGAAGTACTGAGCATAGGGGTAAAAACCTACAAATAAATTGTCCTTATTAAAAACAAACAAGAAAATCTTTTCTACCTATCCAGAGGTTTCTCAGGCTCTTTTTTTTTTTTTAAACTTAGATACATTCAGCAGGATATTAGAGATACACAATCCCATGCAATAATATTTATCAATGTTTATTTATGTCCTCGAAATTTTATTTGTCATCTTCTCTTTCAAAAAGGAAGATGAAGGACAGCCAGAATACAGCTAAATTCTTTAATGAATGCTGGGTTTCCTTTTGCTTTGTTTATTCCCTTTCAGCCCCAGAAAAGCAGAACACCCCAGGATAACATTCTTTCTCTGGAAGGAGGAAATACGGGAAGTAACTAGATCAAATGCAGCACCTGTATCATAAACACTAAAATATGATCTGGGAAGCCCAGTAACACTGCGGCTGGTGCTGAGGGTAGGAAGAGATGTCTGTTTTGATGGAGAGGCTTAAAGGGAGAGGTCGTGGTGCCCTGCTGTCTGGCTCCCTGTCTGCAGAATTGGTGATCAGGGCACCAGGATGCTGAGAGGAATGATGTGTGTCCAGACTCACAGCATCAGATGGTTTGACCAAGATATTGGGAGTAAAATGCTCTCTTGCAATTGTGTGAAGGCAGGAGAAATTGATGAGGTTTTTACCCTTACTCCAAACTACTTACTATAGTTACTTATTTTTTAATTCCTTTAAATGAGCACTTAAAGAAGTGAATGGTGTTGAAATGAGCAGAAGCTGTTCCTTTTTTAAATGGGATCCTTTAATTTTGCTTCTATAAAATCAAAGTTATATAATTTTTTGAAATAGATATGTTCATGTGTCTAAATATAGTAATTCCTCATATATACTACATGTATACTTCATAGAAAATGTCTCAGAAATAACATTCTGTTTTGACATATGGTAATCTCAATGTAGTTTAAGTCAAATTATACTACACAATTTTCAGAGTTAAAATTTATCGTATTTCTTTTCTTAGTTAAAAAATATATTCTGAGAAGTTTACAGATTTGTTTTAAAATGCTATTGCTGGGGCACCTGGGTGGCTCAGTTTGTTAAGTGTCAGCTTCAACTTAAGTCATGATCTCATGGTTCCTGGGTCCTGCGTCAGGCTCTGTGCTGACAGCTCAGAACCTGGAACCTGCTTCAGATTCTGTGTCTTCCTCTCTCTCTGTCCTCCTCTACTTACACACACACTCTCTCTCTCTCTCTCTCTCTCTCTCTCAAAAATAAATAAACAAATTGAAAAAAAAACTTAAAAAAAGCTATTGCATAGGTTAGATACTGCCAATTACAAATCAAAGTCTGTAGGTAACAGATATTTAACCAATGGGACATCTCCTTTGTTCTCCACATCACAGATAGATTGAATATATAATAGTGTCAAGAATGCAAAGATGAGTTCCAGAATTTTCCTTCTAATACATATATTATGCCCATGGCAGTATGATCCAATGCATGAGTCTGAGCTAAATTTCTTGCTAGGGAGTAGCTCTAACATCTCTCGAAGTGTTCAGCTCCTAACTGTTTCTAGGTAGCTTTGTATAGGAGACAGATGAAAGGAATTTAGAAATTAGTCCTTTTCTTTCTCATTGAACACAGTAATCTGGATATAAAAATGGTATCTTCAGAATCTAAAATACAGAGAATAAACTGGGGGTTGCTACAGGGGGAGGGAGTTGGGAGGGTGGGCAGAATAGCTGACCAAGATTAAGAGGCACAAACTTCCAGCTATGAAATATAAAAGTCAGGGGCATGAAAAGTACAGTGTGGGAAATTTAGTCAGTAATACTGTAATAATGTATGGTGTGCATGGTAATACACCTGTCCTCGTAAGCATAGCTTAATATATAGAGCTGCTGCATCACTATGTTGTACACCTGAAACTACTGGAACATTGCATGTCAACTGTACTTAAATTAAAAAATAATAATAATAAAATTACCATTAACAAAAATCTGTCTTAACCTGTTGTGCTACCAAGAAGTGTAATCGTAACTATTTTTATTCAGGAAAATAACTAGTAAATTATATCTTTGTTGTTATAGTCCATTTATTTCTAAGTGTTACTATAAGAGAGAATCCCAATGTGAGATGTAAGTAAGATACTTTTGCAGTATCCCTTGTTGACCAAAATCCTCTGACAAAAATATACTTTTCAGGCGCTTTGTGCTCTATGAATAGAAAGCTGTCTTTAATTTATCCATGATTATAATTTTGAGAGCCCAGGCAGAGATATCTTTGGGCAGTCTTATTTCCAAGATCTTTCCTAGCGACCTGGTTTTTTCTTCTATGTCTTATTGCAATTAGGAACAATCCTTTGGACTTAAAAAAAAAAAAGGTCCTGCTGTTTTAAACAGTTGCAAACTGCTTACTTATCAGAGAAAAAACAACCAGTGACAGAATGCCATTTTGTTAAGAAACCACTGGTGATTCTTACTTGCTTCTAAGAGTGAACCAGACTTCCCTGGAGGGTTCTCCGTTCTACTTCCTTGAGCAGTTGAAGTGACAGCACAGGTAAAACTCTGCTGCCCTAGAGAGAACTGTGTGCTCTGTTCCTTTCCTGATAGGAATCTGGAAGTGTTCGCTTTCCAAGACCCTGGCAGTGACTTGAATGTTTACATTGTTAATGCTCTGAGCACAGGTAATGGCAGATTAAAACATGACCAGCATGACCAACAGAAACAAAAGGTTTATTGATAAGGATCACCTGTTCGTGACAGAAGACAAGGAGGCTACAGGGGATGGGGTTATTGGGGCAAAGAAAAGGAAAATGGCAGTAATGCTAGCCTTAGAAAAAAAGCACTTGATGGTTAAGGAAAAAAATCCCTTAGATCCTTTCTAGTCTCATTGCTCTCATAAATCAGAAATCTAATAAGATGGGTAATAAATACAGTGTTCTTACAGTTCAGAGTGTACTCTGCATTTGCATGGAAAGCAAAAGGCAGCGAGGCTGAGTTTCAGTACAATTAATCACTGGAATGAAAAAGTGTTCTGTGTGCATATACTGATAATACATTGTGCTTAAGTAGTTGGTTCTTCTCGTTTTAATTGAGTATCCAGCATTCTCTTGGTTTTCTGCAAACTCAGGCTTTTTGCTCTTGTTATCCGTAAAATTGGAAACACATTTTAAACTAAGTTTCCAGGGACAGTGTTTGCATGTATATGTACCATGGCATTTGTACCTCTGCATATGTATAAACACAGTGAATTGTGCTCTCACTGGAGTAGTGTTGTGCTCACCTTGGGTTTATTGTTGACTTTGCCCGTAACCTGGTGGAGGGAAATTTGCTACTCAATTTATTGTGTAAAAACCTTGGCCTCTTTGATTTGAAGAGTCCTCAAGTTATTTTCAAGATTTCCTAAGCACCACTTGCCAGACAGTGCATGTGCTACTTTATATAATTTCTGCTGGTGTTAAAGCCTAAATGGCTTTTTGGACCTGTCCTGCAGTGTGGGTCAGGTTCCTGAACATCTTACTCTCTGGACCGTTGGCAGTGTCTCTGAAGTTGTAAATACAAAACTGCATTTCTTTAATGGTGTCTTATTTAGTCTTTTCAGATGCAGACTGCTTCCATTAATATTTTATAAGTAGTGTAGATCATGAATAATTGTTCAGCGTATTTTAGGCTGATGACAAGATTATCAGCCTAGTATGAAGACCTGTGGATTATAGTTTATAACAAAAATCCAAATATTTCAAAGTAAGATTTATTTTCAATTTCTGTATTCATGTTAATTTCCTCATTTTGATAATTTTATTACCATTTTGTAAGACCTTGTCCTTGTCCTTAGGAAGTGCATTCTGAAGTGTTTATGGGTAGGGCATTATGTCTGTAACTTCAGATGATCTTTACATTATACATACATATAAGTAAATAAACATAAATATGAATACAAATATATATACATATTTATATATACATAGTATGTATATATATGCATATATATATATATATATATATATATATATATATATATATATAAAGATGGACACACAGACATCCATACTGAGAGAGCAAGACAATTATAAAACAGGTATGGTAAAATTTTAAAAATGGGAAATCTCTGTGAAGGACATATTCGAGTTCTTTGTCCTTACAGGTTTTATTATATAAGACTGAAATTACTTCAAAATAATTAAAACATATGGTCACACTGATGGTGAAATATAAAGCTTTGTAATATTTTTTAAAGGACATTTTGACAATGTGTTTGGAAAGCCTTGAAATATATATTGGTTGAATTAATAACTCTACTTATGGGAATCTAGATTAAAGAAATCACCGTTGACATCTGTCATGATGTACTTGTAAGAGTGTTCACAGGGTTTTGTGTATTTCAGCAAAGGTGTATTAGAGCAAAATCTTTATGGTCTTCTAAATATACAGCATCAGAAGATTGACTTCGTAAAAAAATTCTTTTCTTTTAAGATTTTTTTAAAGTTTATTTATTTTTGAGCACAAACAGGGAGGGGGGGCAGAGAGAGAGGGAGACAGAGAGTCTGAAGCAGGCTCCTGGCTGAGCTGTCAGCACACAACCCAACGCGGGGCTCGAACCCACGAGCTGTGAGATCATGACCTGAGCTAAAGTCGGACACTCAACTGACTGAGCCACCCAGGTGCCCCAGAAGACTGACTTTCTAATCAGGATGTGCCTGCATATATACCATGCAGTGTTTAAAACTTATGTGGAGAAAATTTTTATTGTTTTTGAAAATATTCACAGTATTATTAACGAAAGCAATCTAGTTCTGAAGCAACAGTGTTTTGTTTTGTTTTTTTCTCCAATTTTTCTCTATGGTAAAATACACCATAGAATTTACCATTGTAACTGCTTTTCAGTATACAATCCAGTGGTACTAAATATTTTTGTAATGTTATACAACTATCAACCTCATCCATCTCCATAGCTCTGTTCATCTTGTAAAACTGAAACTCTGTTCGCATTAAACATCAGCTTCCCCCAGCTCCTGGCAACCACCACCATTCTACTCTTTCTCTTTATGATTTTGACTCCTCTAAGTATCTCGTAGAAGTGGAATCATACACAATGTTTGTCTTTAAGTTACTGGCTTATTTCACTTGGTATAATGTCCTTACGAGTCAGCAAGTTGTAGCATATATCGGAACACAATAAGGTCGAATAATATTCCGTGTATGTAAGCATGTACCACAGTTTGCTCATCTTTTCACCTGTCAATGGACAGTTGGGTTTCTTCCACATTTTAGCTATTGTGAATAATGCTGCCACGGACAAGGGTGTATATAATGCCTTCTTGTGAAATAGTTTGCTCATAAGCTTTTTTTTCTATTCATTGAAATGATACTGCAAAAGCATGTGTTAAATGCTAATAGTAATTTTCCTAAGTAGTGAGATGATGGCAATTTTAGTTATTTCATTAGTTGGTGCTTTTTAGTTTTTATTCATGGACTATGTAATATTTTTAAGTGAAAAAAAAATGTTACATTGGGTGAGATAGGGTCCCCAGGCAAAACATTTAGGTAGCCATACAGTTAAAAGTATAGAGTGCAGTTGGAAAACCTCTTGTTCATAGCAACCAAAGTCATAAATTACAATAATACCCTTAAAAATTAAATAAAAGTAATCACTCTCTCAAGGGAGTATGGTCCCCATAGTAAGAACACTGCTAATTCTGTTACTACATAAGTGCACCTGGTTTTAGGTCAGTTTTCTCAAAATATGTTTCAGAGACTACTTGCATATAAATCATCTGGGATGATTGTAAAAAAATAAAATACTTGGAACAAAAATCTCTGAGGTTACAGTCAGTAAATATGCATTTGTATAAAGCTTTCCAAGTTTAAGAATCATGCTGTAAGTAAATCTGATTTGTCAAGAGCTGGAGTTAAAACAACATGAATAATATTTAATAATTTGTTCTATAAAAGGATCACACAATAATTCTTTGAGTAGAACATACCCATTATTTTAAAATATGATGCAATTTATGGAAAATTTAGCGATGTAGTTTTGAAAGGCATCTTTGTTTGAAGTGGTGCACATCATATCTTCTGTATTTGGCAACTTTTGAGGAATCCTGTTCCTTTGTATCCATCATAAGATGACTGTGTGTTTCATGTACAAAGAATATAGACCAGTTTTTTTATCCAAATTCACGATATGGAACACTCCAGAAATCACACGAGAAAAGCCTGTAAACCCATCAGCTGGATCTGAAATAAAGATGAACTACCTACTTCTATTTTGGGGGTATTGATCCATGTACATTCATTCATACTCTATACTTCTATTCTGTGTCAAGCCTATTCCTTCCAGAGAGGAAGAAATTCACGCTCTTGAAATAAATGCCTAGGTGAACAATGATTCACAGTAGTTGAACTTATTTAATTTGGAATACATATATATATATATATATGTATTTACTATACAATTATATATTTATATATATTAATAAATACAAATATACAAACATATTAATACAAATACAGATATATATTAATACACACATATATATTTACTATACAATATACAGTATTCTTATCAATTGGCAGATTAAAAGGATCTTTTATATCTTGTATATGGGGCTTAGCAAACGCTTTTAGGAAAGAGTTGCTTCCTAATTTTTAAGTAAAAATATTCTCCATATTATGGCTCTCTTTCTTTTTAATTTCAGATTTTGTTGATGGACCTATACACCACAAGGCCTTACTTATATCTGTAACTGTCTGTAGTTTGCTATTGGTCCTTATTATTTTATTCTGTTACTTCAGGTAAGTTTCTGACATGTGGATGTAGAATTCTGAGTTTGAAATATGATCCTCATGCGACTGTTCCACCTGTTATTTTTCGCCGTAGCTTTCTTTGACCGAATTAAATCTTAGATTTCCCTGATACTATCAGTTACTTTTGAAAATATTTGTCGTAATGAAGCTGTTAATAGATACCTTCTCATTTCTGTTTCAGACATCAAAGCCACCCAGATAAATTTCACCCTTAGGGAATTTAGGATAGTTAGGGAATTCAGGAGCTACTTGTTACTAAGGTTGGATCGTAAGTGAAGAAATGGCCATGTTGAACCTAGAATCATTCTAGTAATTCCTTATTTCCCAAGTTAACAATTTTCCCTTAATACTGAAAAATTTTAAGCCACATTTTTATTAGTGATTCAGCTAAAATAAGCTTAGTTATTAAAGTTAAGTGAGAGTTACTTTTTGTTCACTAAGAACTTATTTTCTACTTTGTGAGATATCAAGGACCTTTAAATTTTTATCATTTGCTTTTTGTAACACTCATTTATGATACTGTTCTGCAAATAGGAGTTGATTCGAGTAAATTCATTTCTAATTGGAGGCATAATTATTGACAAGATGTTTCTAAAGTTTAAATTTCTTTCATTTGTCTGTATTATTACTTTATACATTTATAGATGAAGTATATTACTTTATACTTTATAGATGAAGTAGTTTTCTGTTATGTCTTTTGTAAACCCCAAATTTTCAACTTTAATTAGGGACCTTAAGGGGAGAAATTTTAGGCAATAAGTATTGGAACCATAGAAAAATATTATTGGACCCCTGCTGGGAAATAGGCAGTTGAATGGAGAAGAAGAATTGTAGATGGTTGAGACCAAAAAACATGTAGCTTACTTAAAAAATAGGTTAGCAAAAGAATTATGATTTATATTTTGGAAATCATAACTAAGGGTAATAAATAGTAAGCATGTATCTTGTATTGGTAAAGAAGTACTAGCATTTATCATGTAAGGATAATAAATACTAAAATTTATCTTCTCTTGTGCTAAAATGAAATCTGCTGTGATGACTGTTTTGTTTGCAGTGTTTTACCCATCATTGCAATTCAGTATCTTAAATTATCTTCCTCTGTGCATCTTTAGGTATAAAAGACAAGAAACCAGGCCTCGGTACAGCATTGGGTTAGAACAGGACGAAACGTACATTCCTCCTGGAGAATCCCTGAGAGACTTAATTGAGCAGTCTCAAAGCTCAGGAAGTGGATCAGGCCTCCCTCTGCTGGTATGAGAAGAACATATCCTGAATTTAAAGGAAATGTCTTCTGAGAGGAAATGTCAATAAGTACGGGGTTTCATTTTACTGAAACAGATAGGGTAGTGGACAAAGAGAAGCTCTACGCCATCAGTTAGACATCAGATCTCAGATGAAGGGCTTTCTGATAACATTTTGACATATTGGGGGTAAGGTGATTGTTTTTCAGGGTAAGTGTATGGTTACAATCCAGACCCTTAGACATTCTGATAAGGAGCAGATTAGAAAACATTTAAGTATGGAGCCATCTTCCCTCTGCTTTCAGTAAGGATAGTGTTACTGAACTTTGGCCTGGCTTTTGAAGGCAAAAGTATTACAACGAACTGGGATCTGAGTACTTCTCCAGGGGAAGAAGACTGCATTTCATCTGGAGGGCTTATGTTTCAGGATGAAGTCCTGGCTTTTCCATTCATGAGAGCTATAATTTTCTGATAGTCAACATCGCCAAACTTGAAGAAAACATACAATGAATCCAAGGCATTTGTTTTAATGAGAAAACATTTGATTCCTTTATAGACCATGCAAAAAGATTGTTGGGATAGAAAATAACAATTTTATATATATATATATGTATATATATATATATATATACA